ATCATCTGGCTACTTGGCATTGACTTCCCCGGGCCGCATCCCAAAATAAAAACCACCCTCTCCCCCACATTCAAGGATGCAGCCCATAGAAGTCAAGTTCAAGGATTTTATCCCATGCCTTCAATGCACAATTACTCAGGGGGTGCGCATGTGTGGAGGCCCATACAGGTACATATCTCACCTATGGCTTTGGAAGTGTACCTACAAGACACAGCAATAGACACTTCCTATTGTTTCAAATTCTTACGGCCATCCATCATCAGAACACATGCAATTGATACGGAGATGGAGTGACAAAACACAACCAGATGGGCCAGTCATTTGAGAAGGAGAAGGCCTGTGAAGATTTGGTTCTGCTGATTTTTGTATTGCTCATATGCCACCGTCTCCCAGTTACAATAGGGACCATTTCAGCACTGGGACACGGAGGAGCAGATTTTTGGTCCATCAAGTCCCACTATCCTTCCTGCACACTGTTGGTCCTGCCGTGAAGGCAGGGGACTGGACTCGATGACCTCTCGAGGTCCCTTCCAGTCCTAGTATTCTAGGATTCCATGGTGCCCAATGCCGGAAAGGACCCGGGATGGTCAAAACTGCCAAGGATGAAGGGCCCAACAGATCGCACAATGGAAAAATCCTCTTCACGTTGGAGTCACAACTTAGAAGAGACTTCTCCTTGTCTTCCATGTGTGGGAGAGAAGTCAAGCGGCTTCAGATTCAGTCTAACCCGTTCCATCTCACAGAGCATGAAGAAACATCAAGTACTGGAATCAATCCATTTTTTCAAAGGAAACCCAAACAGGGTAACGTCTGAACACCATTAAGGGCGCTGCCAGTATTCAAGCACTTGAGACTTGTGGCTCAGGGAAGGCTAATGCTGGTGAACAAAGTGCCGGAGCAGAGAGGTAGGACAAGGCGATGTCTTTGAACGAAAGTTCTCCATTGATCTTGACCCGAAGTGAGAGAGATAATTTAAAAAACAAAAAAGTCAAACCACCAGTCCATCAGCTTCAAATCCTTCCCAACATTTCCCTCAAGCATCTGGAGTGGATGCAACCCCACTTAACCTGTGGGAACAAAATCAAAAGGTTGATACCAGAGAAGGACCCTCCTGGAGTTATACATTCCTGAACTATGGGATGGAGTTTGGATCAGGATGCAAACTTTGCAACTTACTCCCACATCTCCTGAAATAAGCCATTCATTTCATAAACACACCACCTCTTTCTTCTTCATTCTTGGCCAGGACTAGGGCAAAAATGTAGTTGCTACCTCTAAAAGCAGGCAGGGATGCATTGACATTTTGATTTTTGTTATTCAGAAGCATTCCTGGTAACTGAGGTGGTGGTATCTTGGGAGCAGAGCATGTGGTTAGTCTCCTAGGTTTTTATTTCTATCTCTGCCACTGACTTGCCATGTGACCCTAAGCAAGTCACTTAATTCTTCTTCTCTGCGTCAGTTTCTCTGTCTGCTAGCTGAGATGTATTTAATGTTGTTAAATGACTGGTCCTCAAACACAAGGACCAAGGAAAGTGCCAGATGTTTTTATTAGTAGTAGGATACTGATCCATCACTTGAATGTGTTTCATCCGGATATTCTTTACAAACTCATTTGCTAAGTGCGTATAGGAAACACTTCATCCATCACTGGAATTTTATGCAGACACTTCTGGGGTGGAAAATAGCAACCATTTAACAGTGCAAGCAACAAAGAAAGAACATCTGGAACGACGGGATGAACTGTGAATAGCCATTCATGTAAGTTCAGGTCAGGCATGATTCAATGGAAAGCAAGGTCTTTAGAATTGCTAGATCAGGACACAAATTTGTTGTAGTCCTAATATTACTAGGAGAAATGGCTCATTTGGCTGACAAAGTAATATAACTTAAGACAATAAGAACATCAGAACGGCCATAATGGGTCAGACCAAAGGTTTATCTAGCCCAGTAGCCTCTCTTCCAACAGTGGCCATTGTTAGATGTCCCCATAGGAAATGAACATATCAGGTAATCATCAAGCGATTCTACCACTGTTGCCCATTCCCAACTTCTGAAACAGAGGCTAGGAACACCACTCCTGTCCTTCCTGGCCAATAGCCATTGATGGACTTATCCTCCATGAATTTATCTAGCTTTTTTTTAACCCTGTTAAAGCCCTGGTCTTCAAGACATCTGGCAAGGAGTTCCACAGGTTGACTCTGTGTTCCACAAAGTAAAACTTCCTTCTGTTCGTTTTAAGTATGCTACCTATTAATTTCATTTGGTGACCCCCTAATTCTTGTGTTATGGGAACAAATAAATAGCTTCTCCTTATTTACTGTCTCCAGTAAATAGATGTCTATCATATCCCCCACCTTCATCCCGGTCTCTTTTCTAAGGTGAAAGGTCCCAGTCTTTTTACTCTCTCCTCATACGGCGGCCATTCCAAGCCCCTAATCATTTTACTTACCCTTTTCTGAACCTTTTCTAATGACAATATTTTTTTTTTTTTGGAGATGAGTTGACCACATCCATATGCAGGATTCAAGATGTGTGCATCCCATGGATTTATATGTAGACAATAAGAGATTCTTGGTCTAATTCTCTATCCCTTTTTAAAGGATTCTTAACATTCTGGTCTACAACCAAGTTCTCTCATCACAGTACCAGTCATCGATGCAATTCCTCTGCTCAAATGACAAGTCAGGCCATCCCACATTCCTCCCAGGTAGCAGGTTAAGCTCTGTCTAGATGTGGTAGGGGGCTTACCGCTCAATGAGGCTGTTGTTACCTTGGAGATCATCAGCGACCAGTTTCATTTGCTGCCGAAGCTCCTGCATTCTGATAAAGACATAAAGAACCCTCCTCACATACATGCTGTTTCGCTAGGAGAGGGTTCCCTGCAGCAGAGAAGGGGAAGGCCTCACCCTCAGGTAGGAGAGCAAAGTAAACGGGTTAAGATAGTGAAGAACACAAGAGAAACATGCTCTAGCACATGTTTTGGATTTTTGAAAACCCCTCATGCTCCCCCACCCCCCAATAGCAGCAAAAAAACCCAAAAAGGAACTGAACAGGCCACCTCACCCCCCTGGAATTTCTTCATGCCCCCCAGTTTGGGAACCCATGCTCTGGAAAGAGGTCTAAGCATGAGCAGGGAAGTGGAGAGCTTGCCTGCTCAGAGACCCCATTCTGAAGAGCTGTTCTGGAATTTCTTGCACCCAACTTCTCATGTAGTCCCCTCCCTCCTTCAGCTGCTGTGCCCATCTGGGAGGGCTAGACAGCTGGGTAACTCTGCTGGACAACAAACAAGGTCTCCCTGCTCCTCCAAGTTCTCCGGTCCGGTCTTTTGATACCCACCCCTAAAATCAACCCCACCACACGTCATCTTAAGGTTGCCTTTACCAGCAGTTCACAGACCATTAAGAAAATGGTGATAAGGTCCAACAGGCTGCGTACCGCCACGGCTTACCACCATCTGGAATGCCTTCTCTTGATGCCAGCCCAGCCTTTTAGAAACACACTTCTATGCCTAACATATGATGTGTGTTAACTCCTTGTAAACTACAACTGGAACCTTACAATTCAAGGGGACCGTGAACTCTCCCAGGGCTGGTACCGGTCCATAGCCCAAACCCAAAGCAGCCACAGCGGGACTTTGGGGAAGTTTGTGGCTTAGCATAAGGGAACAAATTGCAATGGTGCACACAGGAGGGGTCCTTCTCCTTAGTTCTGGACACGTTCCAGCTTCCTTCTCTCCTGGACTCACCTAAGCACCAGGTCCTGATGGACTCGATTCATGCAACTCTGTTGGGGTGTGGAAGAGACCTGGGCCAAATTCGGTTTCTCCCACAGGATTCTCTGAGGTAACTTGTCCAAAGCCTGTGGAAAAGGAGACTTTACAGCCTGCAAATGACATTCTATCTCCTCTATTTAACTCTAGCATCCTCCATGCTTACAGATGTTTATAGAAAGAGGGCTTTAAATGCTGAAGTCAAATAACCAGGAGCACCACATAAACCTCTCCAGAAAAAAGCAAAATTAAAATAACAGGTGCCCTGGCCCATCTGCTATGAGACTACATCATAAAGTGCCAGAGACTGCATCCTAAAAACACTAGGCAACTCATCATGTTTGTGACTGTTGCCATGTTCTGTTTATTACAGTCTGTAGTAAATTATTACTGCCAGGCAGCTATTCATTAGGAGGAGTGTTCATTGTTTTTTGTCCCCCCCCACCCCCCAAAAAAACAACCCCTCCCATCATATACCCTCACTTAGGCAAAAACTATGAGAAGAAGTTTTGCCCTTATGAAATTACCGATCGTGTGCTGCAGTGTATAGGATACAGGCCAGGTACTTATACTCATTGGGATGCCGACTTACTATCTGAGACTTCATTTGCTACTAATTTTTTTTGTTTTTTAGAATTGTTACCCTGCAGCAGATTAGGAGCCTGAACACAGCACTGGGTGCGATGAATGGGTGCATTCTCATCCCAGTGCTGGCACCAGCGCATTGACACCTTGGACAAGTCATTCAGAATCAAATTTTCCAAAGCACCTAAGTGACTCAGGAGCCAAGGTCTCCCTGCGTTTTGAAAGCGTTACCCATTTCACATCTCTCTTCCGCAGATTTCCCCCACCTAATATTATTCCTCTACTTGTATCGTGGCGGCTTTGTGAGCCATTTGAAGGTTACAAGCACAAAATACTAGCTCGATTTTTTAAAAATCTACATTGTAGTATCCATCTTCTGGGCAGATAGGGTTTGAGAACAAACACTGTACATTATGGAGGCAGTCCTGGCATCCCATCATCTCCACGTTACAAGCGGCTATCGAGTTGCTGAGCTTCTTCAGATGTTTTCTCATCTCCCAAACTTCCCTACCGAGGAAAAAAAACAAGAAGAACAACTCCAGTCACATATTTGGTCAGAATGAGAATTTCCCATTCCCCCCTTCTGAAAACCATGTTGGATTTGGGTTAAAATCCAATAGGAAGACATATGAATGGATCTGTGTACGTTACAAGCGGCTATCGAGTTGCTGAGCTTCTTCAGATGTTTTCTCATCTCCCAAACTTCCCTACCGAGGAAAAAAAACAAGAAGAACAACTCCAGTCACATATTTGGTCAGAATGAGAATTTCCCATTCCCCCCTTCTGAAAACCATGTTGGATTTGGGTTAAAATCCAATAGGAAGACATATGAATGGATCTGTGTCTCATACCCATGTTATAATCACAGTCATGCCTCTATTGCTTTAACAGCCATCTTAGGCAAAGGCATCCAAAGACGACTAGCAGTGAAGTAATGGGGGAAATGTAAACTATGCGGAAGGTGCACACGCCTCGTGCCCGTCTTCTTCATAGGGGCTAATGTCCCTCTAAAAGGCTATTTAAATTTGTAATTAACCATGGCTGTTTTCCTTTCTCTGTGCCTGAACCAAGGTCCAATGGGCCAGTCGAAAAACTCCCATTGACTTCAATTGGCTTTAAACCAGGTCCTATGTGCTTCATTCCCATGCAGACAATAATAAGGTACAGGCAGTCCCCGGGTTACGTACAAGATAGGGACTGTAGGTTTGTTCTTAAGTTGAATTTGTATGCAAGTCGGAACTGGCTCCAGATTCAGCCGCTGCTGAAACTGACCAGCGGCTGACTACAGGAAGCCCGAGACAGAGTTGCTCTGCCCCGGGCTTCCTGGAATCAGCCACTGATCAGTTTCAGCAGCAGCTGACTTGGGGACGCTTGGGGGTCTTAAGTTGATTCTGTATGTAAGTCGGAACTGGAGGTCAGTTTCAGCAGCGGCTGCATCTGGGCCGCCAG